ACCCCAGTCTTCCCAGAGCTACACTGGCCAAGGTGACCCTCTGAACCGCTCCCCCTCAAGCACCTGGGGCATATTAAGATGGAATTGCTGTATAACTTTGAGCAAGTCCCTGTCCCTCTCTGGGCCTCAGTTTCCACCCTGCACTGTTGGGTTTCTGTGCAGGGATGCCATGGGGGCAGGCGTCTGGCCGCTCACTGCTTCCTGTCGGCTATGGTTGAAGATGTTTCCTGTGCCCAGCTTCCTGCTTCAGGTCACCAGCTTGTCATGGACGCTTTTACACACTCAATGTTTGTTAAATTGAGCTGAAACAGAAATGAAACCCTCCCTAGAACATAACATAGATTAGAGACGACCACCAGAGACATTTCCTCCTTGCCCTTCAGGAAATTCCTGGTTGCAGAGCACTGGCATTGCCCTTGTCCCGGTACTGGGCGCGCGCGCGCACACGTGTGTGTGTGTGTGTGTGTGTGTGTGTGTGTGTGTGTGTGGTGTGGTCATGGAGTGTGCTCTGAGGGGCTTGGGATTGGGAGATGGAGGAGTGGATTTGGGGTCATTGCAGTATGGAAGGGGAGAGGAGAACCAAAGCTTGAATCCTTGGGGCTGTGGGGGAGGAAGGAGCCTGCTGGGGGCAAAAGGTCACGCTCTTGGGAGAGAGGAGGAGGAGACGCAGTGAGTTCCTCCATGGTGAGGTGGGGGTCAGGGGTCACTTCATAGCAGGCTTCCTGGAGTGCTGCAGGGGACCTAGTGCAAACTCAGGTGCTGATCTGTGTGTGTGAGGGTGGACTTGGGCTGCAGATCTTCCCCCACCCTTCCTACCTCAGGCCGTGCGATGACGTCATTCATGATGATAGCGCGAGGGCAAATGATAGAGACCCTGAGCCTCTCCTTTGGTAATCACCCCTCCAGGAAACAGGGGGCCAGCACCTCCTCAAGTCTTCAGGGAATTGCTTTCTGGCTGGAGAAGGTGAACACCTCTCCTCTTGCCCTGCTCTGTTCTTTTGCCTCCACAGGATGAAGCCCTTAGAGACCCAGCAGCCTTGCCATTTCCACCATACCACACCTGTTCCACTCTCCCTGATGAACCCAGCACCTGTTACTCTGCCTGGAACACCCAGCCCTCATCCTTCAAGGTCATTTTCCTGAACACAGCAGGCAGATTCAATTCCCCCATCTGGGCCCCCTCAGCTGCTGGCCCCCTCCCGGCCCGGTCCCCACCCCCATCCCCCCACCCCCCCATTACACCAAGTGTAGCTACCTGTTTGTTTCATCCCACACTGGAAACTTCCTGAGGGCAGGGGCTGGGTCTCATTCTCCTGTGTATCCAACAGGTCCAAGGACCAGGAGGCTCTCAACAAATGTCTGCTGAACAAATTAATTTGTTTTCATTTAACGAACTCATTAGGGATCTATCTTCCTCTTAATTGGGAAGCAGGAGGTTCCTGTAACAATCCACCTTTGGGAGATGATGGCAGAACCTCAGCCTCTGTAAACAAAAGGCAATCAAACCAGATTTCACTGTTGCGTTTTAAAGAAATAACACAGGTGTGCTCAGTGAGGTACATTTCCACAAGACAACTGTATGTTAAAACTTCACATTAAATATACATTATCAGACAGCTTATCACACAGAATTAGAGCTTTACAGGACACTTTGTTAACAGTAGGCGGCTGGCATGGGCTCTTGGCAGTAACACACAGCTCTGAAGCGAGGGGAAGGATAGGCTGAGGGCTGCCACCCGTGCCCAGGAGGCACCTGAGTGGGTCTCTGTGGGGTTCTGGAAGGTGCTCCTGCAGCTAAGGTTCTGGACTGTGCTGGCTCCCTCCGGACAACTTGGTCCATTTGGTCTTTGCTGGTAACTGATTCTGGAAGGGTGAAGAGACAAACGTGGCAGCTTGCTGGATGGCTGCCTGATCCATCCAGTATGCTTCATGGGCACCCACGGGCCAACTCCAAATGCCAGCCTGCCCCGTCTGCTGGCTTTCTGCACGTACCGTCCCTAGAGTCTGTGAGAGTGAATGGTAAGCCTGACCGTTGTCCCTGTGAGGCCCTTGGTCAAGTGACATTAACTACCTTTGAGTGTCCTGGAGAGCTGGCCAGAGCTTGGGGTTAAAATCTTAAAGGGCAGGGGACAACCTAGGGGGCTTAGTCGGTTAAGTGGCCAACTCTTGGTTTCTGCTCAGGTCACGATCCTGCAGTTCCTAAGTTGGAGCCCCACGTTGGGCTCTGTGCTGACAGCATGGAGCCTGCTTGGTATTCTCTCTCTCCCTCTCTCTTTGCCCCTCCCCTGCTCTATCTCAAGAATAAACATTAAAAAGATTATTTTTAAAATCTTAAAAGGGGAATCTCCAGGTCCTGTGACTGTAGTAGAAGCAGAATGCCTGCCAAGAGCTCTACTCATTGGCATGAGGCCCTTGCCGAAAGCTAGGTCAGGATCCCCTCTGCTCAATCACTAGCCACAGAGGGGCACCAGCCCTGAGCTGCTCTGCGAGGGGTTGCACGGCTCTGCTTGAATTGGCCCAGCCTTCCTGGAGACCCAGACTCTTTCAGCATTGTCCTTAGAAAGGCTGCTCCCTGAGCCTTTCTCCTGACAGGCAGGTGGGCTCTCTCTCCCCACAAAGCTTCTTTCTTTCTGTGGCCACCATCTTGTTGGGGAGGGGGGTTTGCCAAAAAGGTCCTTGACTCCTCAGTGCTCAAGGACAGAGCTACTGAAGTGGTTGGGGCATTATGGTCAATAATGAGGCCAGCAAAGAAGGGAAAGAAAGGAAGAAAAAAAAAACACCACACAACAAAACAGTCCAGTGGCTCTGAGCAATGGGGCCTGTTAGTGGCTGGAGGTAGTGTTCTGAGGCAAAATGCTGAGGGCAAGATATTGTGTAGCAGGGAGCTTTTTTTTTTTCCCCCTCAAAGAAACCCAGCTCATTTTTTTCCATTAATTGGCAGCAGATGAAAAAAAAAAAAAGCCAAAACAAAAACCAAACCAATGCCAGTAACCTGAATGTGAGTGTTTCTGAAAGGGAAAAGCCATTTCAATTGTTAGATATCCAAGAAAACATGAATACACACCGACAGAGGAAATGGTCACAATTAGAGGAAGAAGAGGGAGAGGTTCGTAAAATTAAGGCAAAAATTCCTTTTAGCAGCTCCCATCCTGTAAGCTGGCTCCTCTGCCGGCCTCTGTCCCTAAGGGCAGCTGGGGGTTGGGCCTCCTGGGGAAACTTCAGGAAGACGGAGGGAGGGCCCAGGAATCCCTTAAAAGAGCAAAGGCAACAGCAAAACAACCTAGTTCCTCCTCAGACAGGCACAGAGCCTTTCCTGAGGAGGAATTTGTTGTGGAAGATTGTCTACTGGGAAGGCTCACACAGCTTCTGGATGGTCCCAGCCTGCAGCCTCGGAAGTGGAAGTGCCCCGTGGGCATCTGGGCTTGCTCAGGGGGGAGAAAGCTAATGCAGTCTCACCCCACCCAGCTTGAGGGCCTGCTCCCACAGCCCCAACCTCTAAGTGGATCCTTGGGGTCCAGTCTCCTTTGGCACTTCTGTTTGGACAAGTGCCAATTCCTCACTCATTTTCTCATTCACAAAAAAAAAAAAAAAACCGAGAGAGAAAGAGAAAGGGGGGTGGGGGGAATGTGAATCACTCCAGGTACTCTTTTGCTTCAAAGGACGTTTGGGAAAATGCACGACAGGCAAAAGGTCAGGACAGAGTCAGGCTATGGCCTAAGTGGTAATCATGAGGCAGCTCAGGCTGTGGGATCTGCAGGTGGGAGAGGTTTTTTTTGGGGGGGGGGGGGGGGTGGTTGTGGCTGGGAGGATGACCCGAGGTGGACTGAGCAGAAAGACCGGTTGCTAAGGAAACAGCTTTGGCCACAAACCTGGGAAATCCACAGCAGCACCCTAAAGAGGCACAGCTTTTAGTCCTGCTCTGCCTGGTTTGACAGGCAGCAGCCGCAAGTCCTTTTTCTTTGCTGGGCCTCTGAGACCACATCTGAACAGTGAGCCTGAAGCATCTCTGAAGCCTGGGCAGTGCTGAATGTCTAGAACTGCTGGTGATGTTCGAACTCAGCCCCTTGTGCTGGGGATGACGGTCACCAAGCTTCCACTCCATTCAGACAAGCTGGGCAGGCAGGAAGACGTGTGCTTGAAGGCACTGAAACTCAAAACTCGGGCCGTATTTGGATCCTTGCATGTCCTTCAGCAGATGGAAGCCGTTATCTGTCATGCTGCTGGGTGGGATTCTTCTATGTCTTCCACCAGCATTTAACCATAGCGTGGTGGTGGGTGAGTGGGAGGGAAAGGAGGAGGAACCAAGTAAAAGCAACCTCACAACCTTAGGAGCCTGACCTGAAGGTGTGGTGAGCATCCCTGCTCCAGTCAAGGGCAGAGGCAAGATGGAGGTGAACCGTGGGAACGTGTGTGTTATCTGCGGGGAAGCAGTGTGGATGGATGACCAAGAGAACTCCACGTCCCCCTGAGAGGTTAGGATTTGTTTTCCCTCAGGAGCAGGGTTAACAGTGAGGCCACGGACAGCCAAAGCACTGGCCATGGAGGCTGCCAATCTGGACTCAAGAAGCCTCTTTCGCTTACAAGCTGTGTGACATAGCGCAGATTACTTTCCCTCTCTGTGCCGCCCTTTCCCCACATTAAATGCCTCACGGGGTGGCGCTGACCAGATAATGGGAGAGCCCTTTGTAGACTGCTGGGTGCTCTGCACAGACTTGCCATCACTGGGCTGCTATAGGCGGAAGGGAGAGCTTGGGTGGTGGGTCAACACTTGAGGCTACCATTGCTGGAGCCGGAACGCAGGGCCTTGCTGCACCATCCTGAGGTTGGCTCTCAGGCGGGCAAAGAAAACCCCTCTCTGCTTCCTTCCCTCCCTGGGGCCTGTCGTATCACACACGCCCAGAGTCACACCTTGCTCTGGGAACGAAACCAGCAGGTAAACACTGCCCTCCTCAGAGACCCTCTGTGGTATATATACGTACATATAAAAAAAGGGATAAGAATATGTATTAAATGACTATTTTATTTACACACCCTATTCATAAATAATTGAATCCTCTTTGTGACTGCACAATGATTCCTTGAAGATCTCCTAGTGATTACACTGAGTGACTAACAGTGGATTTAGCGGGCTTACTCACATCTGTGTGTGACCATGCTCTCTCGTGTATGTGTTCACACTCACACATACACACACACCACAGGGGAAGCCAGACTCCTGGGGCTTTCTGGGCTCTCAGAGCACCCGCATTTGTCTCCCAGCACCAGCGGGGGCCCTGGTGGGAAAACCGTAGTGCCCCCACCCCCCACCCCCACAGGTGTGAATTCGTGACGGCTGGAGAACAAAGAGCTGCAACCCGGGAGCTCCCGCCCCGCCCCTCGCCCCTCCGGAGCTGCTCTCCTTTGTTCATCCTGGAAGGCATCTCTTTGGATTTGCAAATATTTTAATTCACAGAAACTCAAGGAGGGGGCGGGGGTGGGGGCTGGGGTGGCGTGTTGGCTGTCCTTCTGTCTTTGTCCAGGCTTTCTCCAGCCCCCGTAAGTGGCAACAGCATTCTAGAGACATGCAGTGGTGTGCTAGTACCATACACACGACACAAATTGGACCCCGCCTGCAACAGCGGCGGGGCTGGTGGGCGGGGGCCTCCAGCTCCTCCAAGTCTGGGCCCCGTCACAGAGCAGGGTGGGGCTTGTCCGCTCAGAGGGTCCGCACAGCCACAGGGTAGAGGAGGGACAAGTGCTCAGCCCCTTTGATGGGCAGCTTTCTGGTGGTATAGTAGTGGATGACTTCTGGAACACTGTCGAATGGGGGACTGTTCTGACCCAGAACGTACTTCTCTTTGGTTTTGGCCAGTTTCATGTGCATAAAGCCCTGGTTGCTCCTGTGAACAAAACACGGAGGTTATTATTAGGATCTGCAGTGACAAAGGCTGAAACAGCCATGCTGCTCAGGCCCAAGTGAAACGCAGCTGCACCCCAGAGCTCCCCCAAGCCCAGCATAGACCAGGAACCAGCAGCAAACACTGCTGGAGAGTCTTTAGGATCTTGAGAGCTTTTGAAAGGCTTCCTCAGGAAAACAAGCCCCCAGACTTGGCTCCTCTTATTGCTGACACAGACAAGTTTTTAGGCTGTGTGTGCCAGGCGAAAAGTATGATTAAGTCCCCAGTGCCCTGGCAAGTGTGCGGGGCAGGTCTCATCACCCCCAGTTTACAGGTGAGAAAACAGTGTAGCAGGGATGACAGGTGAGCTGTTTTCCAAAAATTGATGCTCTCCCTTCCATACTACTTTATTACCACTAGGAAGGGGCTTGCCCAGCCAGGGACTACATTTCCCAGCCTCCCTTGCAGCCTCTGTAAACATGTGACTAGTTTTAGCCAAGGGAATGTCCGGGGTATGTGTGTTCTTCCCCAGCTCTGCCCCCTTGCAGGCACTCCCTTCTCTGTGCATCTTCCCTCTGTTCAGTGAACTCTGCCTCCTCCTCCAAGGCCCAACCTGAGTGTTTCTTCTGCTGGGAAGTCTTCCAGGCTACCACAAGCAGAGCTCCTTCCTTCCTCTGACAGCACCGAGCATACTCGTGCCTCCATCACTTGCTTCCTTGAATTGCAATTACTTCTCCATCTTCCCAACTCCCCCTGAGAGCTCCACAGATCAGGGCCTGGTCCCTGGACACACCATGCATGGTATCTGCTGAAAAGGGCAGTGGGTGGGTCCCTTGGAGATCAGAGTAGTACCCTGGGCCCCGTGCCCCTTGCAGCCCCGTGCCCCTACACCAGCATACACTGGCTGGGGCACAGATCTCAGATGGCAATGGCCATGCTGCTTCCACCTGGCCCTAGCACCTGGCCCTGGTCCTCCCACCTTCCACCCAGGTCTCTGGCCATATCAGATCACTCACTCCTCTGTCAAATCTGCCTTTGCCCAAGCTGCCTTTTCCCTGCCCACTCAGCTCTAAGCCTGGCCTTTTATGATTTTGCTGCCAAACCTGTAGATGCTTGGTTTCCAAAGCACAGTCCAATTTATCTCACATTTGTCACTTAGTGAGAAAGCTGGCACTCTGACCTCTTGCTGCCTTCTCTAGAGTCTGTCCCTTGGCACTGATAACTTGTGACCAGCCCCAGGGGCCTTGCTTCTGGGAGACCAAGGCCCAGCCCCTGGCGAGGCTGAGCTCCAAGTGAACACAAATTTGCAACCTTCTGAGCTTCAGTTCTTGTTGCTCCGACTGCTCCCACAGGGGCACTGGAGGGCTTACCACGTCTCTTCCAGTCAGGACTGGGCTCCCCGCGCTCACGGACGCCCGCTCTGTTAATGCATCAATTTGGACTCCAGCACCATTTTCAAATGGCAGAGCAAATGCTTAATGAAGTGCGGGCACTGAGCAATACATCTGCTCATAATAATGTATTTAGAGATGTCACCCTCAGCTTAAAGGAAATCGTTCGGAGAGCAATTATGTTTCTAGAGAGAATAATTCCTGTAAAGAACTAAAATTTAAATCAAGATTTTTTAAGGCTGACAATGTTCTAATTACAGAGCCTGTGGCAAGTTCTGCTCCTCAGCGAAGGGTCATTTCATTGGAGAATTGCCTCGACACATCTGAGAAGCAGGAGGCGCACTTGCTTAAGCTGTTAGAAAGGGAATGGGGTGTGCAGTAAGTGAGAAAACGTACAACCCCATTTAAGCGAAGACTAGCTACCCACCACACGGGAGAGATCACGAATCTGTGCCGGCCTGGATAGGGTGGTAACTGCTTGAATGAAGTGCTGAGATTGTGTGGCTAAGGAAACTAGGACTAGTTAAAAAGCTCTGCGCACTGAGGCCATGAGCTCAGCTCTGCCTGGACAAAGGGTGGGGGCGGGGGGGGGGGGGGGGGGGCGCGGAGCACCGGCGGGAGCTGCAGGTGAGTGAGGGAGCAGAGGGCGTGTAGCCTCGGACAGTCATGCTCCTCTTTGTGAGTGGAGTGGGGTGATGTTTTGGTTGCCAGACCACAGATCTGTGGCTAGGGTGCAGAGCATACGATGTGGAAGACTGGATCACAGCAGCTATAGCTGTGAGCCAGGCAGAATGCCAAAGCTGTGCTGGCAACACAGAAAGGAAGTGGCAGGAGGAGCTGATTTACTTTTTAAGGAGGTGAAGAGAAGTAACTCATATGGTTTAATGGGATGTTTTTATAGTGGTTGTTCTTAAAACACCCAGCAAGGGAAGTGGCAGGGATGGTGAGAACAGCTGATGGGACCAGAGGGAGAGAAGGCCCCTCTGTTCCCAGGCCACAGGTTCGGAATGGCCACCAGGTTATCAGAAACTCCACAATGATGCCTCCTCCTCAACAGACACAGGTGAGCCAGGGCAGCTGTTAGCACCTCCCTGAAGTGCCTCTGGCACATGTATTTCAGTAGACACAGGTTTGTAACTGAGCTAGGCTGTGCCGAGCGGGGCAGGCCAGTCACAAAACTCAGACCATGGCAGAGGACTCAGGCCCTATGACCGCCCAGTCCAAGGCATGACCATCCCCTGGTAGAGGGATAAAGGCCCACGAGCTGGCTCCCACATCAGGAGCCCCCAGCAGGAGCGGCCCTTCCCCTTGGGCTCAAGCACTGCACCCCGTGGTTCTCTGGACCTGAGGCGGTCCTTTGGCGGTGGTGGGTTCTGTCCTTGGCACCACTGGATCTGTGGGGAGGCTAACCGGATGACCTTTGAGGGTGCTTCTGGGCCTAAGGTCCTGGATTCCATGTGTGTAAGCATAAGCTCTTGCCCCCTTGTGAGGACTTCTCGCAGGAAGGGGCCTGGAGGCAGCCTCATGCCCCATTCCACTGCTGCCCACAGCCCCCAGTCTTTATTCTCACGGGGCACTGATCATAATGGTCTTCACGGCCAATGTTTCCCAGGCACTTCCTGTGATTCAGGCTGTGTGCCAAGTCCTGAGGCTCAGTCAGGTGGCCGACCCAAGGTCACACAGCAATCAGCGGTGGTGCTGCTTCCCTCCCTGGTGGGCCTTTCCCAGGGTCCATGCTCCTGACTCAGTACCATCCAGCTCCAGGAGAGAATCCCACTTAGCCCTCAACACTCCGTATGAGGCCAGGTAAGGTGGCAGGGGAGAGATGTTAGACCCTGTGCAGGGGACTCTTTGACTCTGGCCTCGGTCCCTAGGTACTTACCCTACAGGGCTGATGGTGGGCCAGAGACAGCACAGGGCTGGCATGGAAAGGTCATCTCAGGCACTGGGGATGGCTTGTCCTGACTGCTAAAGGCCCCAACTATGGAGACCCGTCACATGGGGTTGGCAGGCCCTGAGAGGTGAGCTTGCTTTTTGAAACAATCTGTCAAACTCTGACTCACGAATAGGTCAGGTAAAACCTTGTCAACACACACCCAAGAGATGTGTAATATATCCTGATAATATATCCTGATGGGTCACAAGGTCCCAATGAATGAGATGCTACTTTACAACAGCTGAAGATTTAAAAACGACTGTGAAGGGGCGCCTGGGTGGCTCGGTTGGTTAAGCATCTGACTTCAGCTCAGGTCATGATCTCACGGTTTGTGGGTTCAAGCCCTGCGTCGGGCTCTGTACTGACAGCTCAGGGCCTGGAGCCTGCTTCCGATTCTGTGTCTCCCTATCCCTCTGCCCCTCCCCTGCTCATGCTCTGGCTCTCCCTCTCTCTCAAAAACAAATAAACATTAAAAAATTTTTTTTAAATAAAAAATAAAAAAAAAATAAAAACAACTGTGAAGGGATGGCTTTAATGACTCCCAACTCAATTCAGAAGACAACTAGCATAAGAAGAGAAAAATTAGAATTTCTAGCAAGAAAAGAGGGTGCATCAGATAATCAGCATGCCCAGGGGTGCTGTGGATGCTCTGGACAGAGCTTCTCTTGGGGCGCCTTGGAGGACTGAGGTGGGAGAGAACAACACTCTGGGCCAAGGCACACGGCAAGGCGGGCTTTGGCTGAAGCCAGAACCCGGAGCTCTTTGCCTCCAGGGCCAGGTGGGCCAGGTCCCCGGCCACGCCACCTCGCCATCATCACTTCTGGGAGGGCCTTGGTCCCCAGGGAGCTTGGACAGGCTGCGGCCACCCGAGAGGCTCCTGTGTCAGGCCTGTCTCCTTTGATAGGACATCTTGCGAGAGCAAAGTCACAATTAAGGGTGTCTCCGGTGGGTGACCTGTCTAATGAGTCATGTAAGGCTGGCGGAGGCTGGGGGTGCTGGGGCTGTCACTGCGTTTAGATCCCTCATTATCATCACAAAAAGCACCTCCTCATCACCAGGATTATCAAACGTGCCTGGTGTGCCGGGCCTAATAACAGGCCCTACCTCGTCTCATAATCATGGGCTTTAATAAAACATCACTCAGCCCGCAGCTGCCGGCCCAAGCAGGGTACAAGGCCTCACCTCTCGCTTTTAGACCTAATTGCTTGATGCATATTTCATGAAGAATCCTGAGTAATAGTTATGTTAAATCGCTTCTTTTCATGATGAAATGACTTAAAAATACTTGCATATAATATTTATGCAGGAGAAGGCAAGGAAATTGCCTTTGGGGACTATCGCGTAGAACCTTGTTACGGGAATCCACACACAGCAAGGATCTCTGGTCCACCTCTACTAAAAGGTGGTTGGGGAACTGCTCTCTTGACGGAGATGCCCCAGAACACTGTCTCTCGGCTCAAAACCATCCATGGCTCCCTGTGGCCACTGCACAACGAATGCCACCTGCACTGTTCAAACCCCACTGTGCACCAGGCAGGGAGCTGAACTGTTGCTACATATTATCGCATGGAAGCCCACAGCAATGCTGCTAAGCTGGTAGAACTACCACTGTTTACGGATGGGAAACTGATGCTAGCGAGGTTGAGTGCCAAGTCCCATCGCACATGGTGGGGCTA